TTACATTCGCTTCAGAAATACTAATCTTGGTGTTAATATTTGTATTTGCTTCTTATATATTAAGCAATTACATTTTAGAACGTTTATAGTATCTAATCAGTGTGCATATATAAAATAATGTTTACATTCGCTCTGAAAATGTATAGAAAAATAAGCGTACACCTCTTGGAATAATTAAAAATCTGCTAAAACATCTAAGGCGTGTAAGCATTTCAATATACTGTATAATACACGATTTATGTATCAGCTTACAATACTTGGATGTCTGTAGCTTTGCCATAAGAGCACTGCAGGCCTCATCAGTAGTCACTGTATGATTGAGCCAGCCATCGTATCGAGGGATAATATCTTGACTTGTTTGCAATAAGCTCCCAAAGGTTTACCTACTTGGAATTGATATTCTGTGACCATGAAGACTAGTTTATCAAGCACATTCATTAATGTTTACCCAGACTGCAAGTATATTGTAGAAGTCTACATGCCAGGAAACATGACACACCGTTTCTAGGTAAACAAATTTGAGAAAGACAGTCTTCGTACATTTAAAAGGCCAATAGTACTCCTGCTTAAACAAGCAATGAAGCTGAATTTATCTACATTCATCCCTGAACCAGAAGCGGGCGGCTTCAGTATTTTCACAAATACTGAAGTCAATAGAAAAACATATTTAAGTATCTATAAACTTCCCAGTTATCGACAATCACATCCTAAGCCATTACTGAAAAAAATATGAATTACACAATTATAAATCTTACTGCCTTGACAAATTTATTTTTTTAAATCCATTTAAAATAATATTAAATTTTCAGATGACTGCAAATATTTGTATTTCCATATTGTGAAACACAATGAAGTGAATTTGTATTTTCCAAAGTAATCGATGTTCATATGTGTAGTGTTCACTGGGGGTGACGGTCGATACATATTTCAATCCTACATCTATTTGTGCTGGCATTATAGTCGACTATTTTAATGCTTAATCGTATTCTTTAAAAACAAGTGTTTAAATTTGACAAATATTGGAACGCACAGCTTCATTGAATATGCAAATTATTGCACTTTCAATAACGGCGTCAGTTTTCTGCATATTGTGTTGGCTACATAAAAGTTCAACAAATATAAATGTGGATAAACATGAAAAAAATGGTTTCAACCAAATTATACATTTCCCACTAAATCCTGGGTTAGGGTATACAGTAGTAAAACACTAAACTATCCCGGAAATATCTCTAAAAATATATATATATAATAGCATAATTTTTCAAACGGTAATTTTCATGTCACAACAAACTAAAATTGCGTTGAAAAACTATACAGACTGCACGTTCAGGGAAGTAGTTACATTAAATAAACAAAACATATCGATGTCGACTCGTATTTTAGAATCGAGCAGCTCTTATTTGCTTTCAACTATTATTTCAAATTGGCGATGAATGCACTCTGAAACCGCGTATGTCAGTGATGAGTTAATTGCTTAATCGTGCATGATGGAATATTTAAATTCTGCATTTGGAGCCACAAAGCCCTTCGGTGTCAGTGAATTGTGTCCTCATTTTCCAAAATTATAATAAACCTATTTCGGCATCCATCTGTGCAAAGTTGTTCCACTACAAAGCATTAGTAATTAGTTAATGGCTCAGATTGCATCTTTTAAGGTCGTGCAATTGCATCATCAGCCATGATCAATTCATGGTCTTGCAATGCAATATAATCCATGCACACAAGATAATTTTAGAATACCATCTCTATGGTGGTCTCTTGGATATGTTCCCTACCATCCCTTCTGACCAAAACCACTTTTTATTATTATTAATGTCTCTGGTTTGTATGTCCTGGAATTAATGTGTTCCTTTCTCTGTCATTCCAAGCAGTGTAATAAAATCAGTGTATATCCAAGCTGCACTTTTCAGGTATGTTCAATTGTATTTGTCAATGTCCATGCTTCTGTTCGATATGTCAAAAGCAGGTAATATACACTGATTAAACACTTCCTCGTGAGGCACATTGGTCTGTTTCTTTTTATTATTAAATTAGTAATCCAAAATAAATCCAACCTGCTCTTGTCCACTTTTATTTTGTTAAGGTGATGTTTGTGTGCCTTTAATAACCGTTCTAGATACCTGCCCAAGGCATAAATACTGTGATGCATTTACTTGCTGGTTATTGCTTTAGATATCTTCAATTGTTAAGCAAACGTGTACAACTGCTTAAAACTGAACCAACACTGTGTAAAAAAATTAAATTGCTAAATTATGTTATAGTAATACATGCAACTTTTCTTTAGATATTTAACTTTGAATTATAGTAATGATATTGCCATGGATTACACACACATCGTAAGCCCATTTTTATTTTTTACAGAAGATTGTTGTGGTAATGTGTGCTTTTAAATAAGCAACTTTTTTCCATCATCATATGGTAATAATCTACATTAAGACGACAATCACACGGAGAACTATGACATTAAAGCAATACATCTTACAAAAAACATTCTTTTAAAGATATGCTTTACTTGAAACCATAAATAAAGGAATCATGTAAAACTAAGATTTATGTAAACGTATATTTTATGCCGTAAAACTGTCAACATTCTCAGGGTGCCTTTACTAGCAAATACATTATTTAATAAATTGACAAATAAATATACGTTTGTTGGTTGTTATTGTCTTGTAATGGCTCTTCGGTGCACTGAATGGAAACGTGGACTTCCCTACAGATAAGTCTGTTGGGGACTAGAATGCTATAAACATTTCCCTATTGATCGTGTGCACTGTATTCTTCAGATTACCGCCAAACAAATGTTAATCTACAAATTATACAGTTGCTTTAAAAGGCAAGTGGGCGCATTTCCATAAGCTGCATGCTAACATCACTGAAAATACCTTAACCCCTTTTAAAGGGATTAAACCTAAACATCCGATTGTAATGTTTACAAAGTTTACCTGAAAAACTATAAAAACACGTAAAATTTCGATTGAAAGCTTTCGTGACTGCAGGGATTCATCTTCTTGGTTCTTTCGGTAAAGTCACGTAGAATGGAAATAATAAAATAATAAAAATAAAACATAACAAAATAATTCTCACGACGTTTCGGCCACAACGCAAGCACGTTTCACAAGTGTAAAATCTCATTTTGATTTTGTAAACGGGCAACTGACCCAATACTGTGCGCACTGAAACATATAATACAGCACATTGCCAACACTTTTACCTAATCTTAACTGTGTGAGAGTATGAAGTAATAACACTGTAGAATGTTCCACGTGCAATATAGCTGATTGCTCGTTTCAGATTTGATGTCTAAATTCTCATAGACTTAAACATACAAAATGTTGCTACAGTAGTCGTATGTTATTGTATGCACTGCACCATGACGAAGATTTTTCGATTTAAAGCTTTCGTGACTGCAGGGATTCATCTTCTTGGTTCTTTCGGTAAAGTCACGTAGAATGGAAATAATAAAAATAAAACATAATAATTATGTTTTATTATGTTTTATTTCTTTCGGTAAAGTCACGTAGAATGGAAATAATAAAATAATAAAAATAAAACATAATAATTGTTTTCTTTGTATTTTTTTTATTATTTCCATTCTACGTGACTTTACCGAAAGAACCAAGAACATGAAGAAGATGTTGTGCTAAATGCAATCAAAACAATCGGTTTCATGGTAGCAATGTGTAGTCAAAAACAACGACTGAAGAGAGGGGGATTGTTTAAAATAAAGTCCCCGATAATATTAGAGGAAATGTTGTTGACCGAAAATAGACAATGTTCATGATTGCTATTTACTTACAGGGTACTGCAAACTATATTGCAGTTTGCATTGTAAAAGTTAATGCGGACCATCATGGCATTCCCATTCATAAGGATATTTCTAAACCTAAACATTTGTTTCTATTTCCCCGGGTAAGGCCCACTGAGCTTTATAGCTATTTCGCAGAAGCGACCTCGCTATCACAAATGACAGCTCAACTTAGTGGCTTATCACCTGGAAATGTATGGCAGCTAATAACACTTGAAACGCAAGTTGATTTTAAATGTGGAGGGGAAAAACCACGCGACCACGGGGAGAGAAACACGCAAACTTCAAATATACAAGCGTCAGGGTCGGGATCGAACCCACACTCTCCTGTATACATCATTTTTGAAATGTCAATATACACAATGCAATGCTATAGGATAGTACACATAGCATACGGGTGACGGTGTGCCTGTAGCCTTTTAGAAATTCAGTACAGAAATCTTGACATATGCCACTACAATACAGTGCATCAACGTTTGCATAGCACTGTCACAGTATGCCACATTAAGTCGTGTGAAACATTTGACGTAGCAGCCACCCGATGACGGAGGCTTGTGTTGCCTTCAAAACGTCGTGATTTGTTTTAATTCAATTGTTTTCATTTTAATTAATTGTATTTAGTTTTTTACCTACGTGACTTTACCGAAAAAAACAAAGAGTATGGATCCTTGCAGTCACGAAAACTTCAAATCTAGAACTGACGTATAAAATATAATCGGAGTACAAACGTGTGGGTCTTCAGGCTAAGCCGCTAATGCGTTAACTGTAGCTGGTTTTAACACTGGATTCCCACATCGTACAAACAGCTAAAATAAGTCGTCAGTTTTTACAGACGTGCTCGCATTTTTTTAGACGCCAATCATAGCTGTGATATTTTAATATGATTATACAGATGTGCTAATCGGAGGATTTTTACTTCGGCGTGGCTGGGCTCTGCAGGCTGATGTTGTGCTCCATCTACTGTCAAAAGCAGTTACTGCGCTGCAATCAGGAACCGGCGCTCTTTAAAGAGTTTTACAGCACAAATCACAATGCAGAGCATCTGGTTATTTCCTTTTTATACACCGATCCGAGAATCCTAAACAAAATAGATTTACGACAATTACTAATAGAAAAATTGTATGTTTGAAAGAAACGCATTATTATGAAAAATATGTTCGAAGCAATAAATACAAAACACATGAACCGTGTCAAATGCGCTGTCGGAAATCATTCCATACTGTTTTATTTATGAACACAAATTGGAAATGCATCGTAGCAGTCCAACACACAGAGATGATGAATATTTCTGAGCTTCAGGTCAAGCTGAGCAGCAAAGTGTAAAATGAATGTTGCTTCTGACCAAAAAACTGGCATTTTATGAAACCTACCTGATGATCCTAAGTTAATCATTGATTACAATATAATTATTATTAATACAAAACTTTAGTATTAATGAGAATGTACATGCTAGACACTTTCATTCATCTAATTCGTTTATTTTAATGGAACTAGAATTATTTTCTCTATTTCCTTTGACTCCCATTTGAATAAATCCTTGTTACAATCATAAAATAAACCTGGCCAACAACGGTTCAATTATTATTAACCATAAGGAGACACTAGAGAGCAGATGGGAATAAACACAGTAACTTCCATTTGAGTACAACGCCCACAAATTCTTCAAGAGGCAAAGACAACATTTAAAAGTATCGTTACAAATTAATATAGATGTATGCACTGCACTCTTACAAACCTTAATATTTAACTTATTTCACGTAACTTTAACACGTAGGCTTTCGCGACCAATATCATCCATAAGAGGTTTTTGGGTGAGATCGCGTAAATGTGTCGTTAAAACCCGCCACCACCCGACACAGCCAACTAGTAAGGGTTGTCACGTAAACAGAACATGCCAATTCGTCACTAGTACAGCACACCGGTGTGTTGGAGAGCCAAGCCACAACATTTACAATCGGAGTACGACGTTTTGCCAGCTATTACAACTAGCTTCATCAAGCGACAGCCAGATTTGTGGTATTGTAAGTGGAATCGGTGAAAATCCATGCAGCATCCAAGCTCTTCTTTTTAATGTCAAAACATTGGCGCAAATAACATCTCCAAAGCTGTTTCTCAGTTCAAAATTAATCACGACATTAGCTAAAATTGGCGTTTCCTCAACATTTTCAAAGAGAGCTTAAAATATAAGAATTGTTCTGTATTACCCAAGACAAAACAGAATGATAACCATTAAGTCACATCTACTTGCTCCAGATAAGCCAAAGGACAATACATATTGACTCATGAGGGTTGCATAATATCACCCATTACAATCGGTTTAAGGAATATAACACTCTAACACATCGGGTGAATTATACAGGTAATCATGCATTTTTACAAGTGGGGATTTGACTGTTAGTGGTTGCATTTTCACCAATATATTTTACAATGAAATGACTTGCGCTTTCTTTTACCAGTTTTTCAGACAATTGACTCGTAAATAGTATGCATATTATAGATGAATTTATACCATAAAACAAAACTGTTCTTTTAATGTAAAACAAATTTAGACTGGCAGTTTTTCAAACTCAACATACATTACACGAAATAATATTACATGGGAAATGTATCATTTGCTATGATCAGGTTTCTTTGTTTTTATCTGAAATCAAATATGTTACATTAAAAGCATGGAGAGGTGCATGCTGGTATTTACAGAGAAAGGAAGCCGAAAGCCTGCACCAGTGAACATAGGCAGGTTAGACATCTTGACGGTAAAGAAAAACAAGGGCAATGCAAGAAGGAATGATGGCCAGTAGCCAAGACTCACAACGGAGTGGCAGCAAAAGCAAAAAACACGGCGGTGCAGATGACATCAGATCATGTGCAGGTGCTATATGGCATGCTGCGATTGTAGGACTATGAGAGATAGTGGTGGCTTGGGGAGAATTTAATCCAGTAGTGAAATGATAATGGCAGATGATGATGATAATGCATTACTATCATTCCTACTTCTACTGCATCTGTGCTTGACCAGCAATGGGCTTGTGGCACCCTCCACCCCAGCCAGTCACTTGCAACTGTTCCTGCCACCACAGCAGAGAGACCCGAGTCAATCTTGATCTGGCACAGCCAAGCATGACGAGGCTGGCCAGCATTCTTCTACCACTGTCTCACATCTTTTTGAACTTTTTACGTTGCCTTTGTCCAAACATAGGTGGAGATGCTGTTGCGATGCTGTCCGGTGTGGGACACAAGTGGCTGCCATCTGAAGCAGTGGTATTGGGTGTCAGTGCAATGCCACCTTCACTCAGAGCTGACATTGGCTCATCAAAGCCACCTTCACAGCCAACCAACATGCCTGGAGGAGGCTCATCTGACTCCTGAGGCTCTGCCTTCACCTGCACCAGGCTCCATATAGGCGACACATCCCCTCCACTGTCTGTGCCTGTTATGTAAAACAAAATATTACGGTAAGTTATTTTTGCAAGTACATTAATAAAAGATGTCAAATATGGAACGTATTCATGTGACAGGTACAAGGCGTTATGCTAAAAGTATTAAGGACAAAGTATGAAAACAACAACAATTTACTGAGTGACAATGATGAATGTCGATGCTCTTACCTGCATTGCTGCTGGATTGTTCTGGGCCCTCAATTTCTAACTGCAACGGCTGTTGATCAGTAGCTGTTTGCTCAGTTTCACTTTCTTCGCTCACAGGGAAACTGATCTGCTCTCCCAATGGTTCCTCCTTCACGCGTAGCATCGTGGACAATACCCTAACACCACCAAAAAAAAGCAGTTTATGAAATACCAGATTATTAACATTACATCGCAGGCATTTAAAGAATAACTAAATTAGATCATTGTTGTTTCAGGACTTCTTGTACAAAAATTAAAATATGGTGGTATACACCCATTTTAACCAATATTTGGTAGTCCGTACAGCACAACCAGTAATACCCTTATTTGATGATATAATGACAATGACTGCCAGTTGTACTGGAACTCACCTTTCAGGGTTAAGCAGCCTCTCATACTCCTCTGCCAAGTGCCTGCTCGCCGAGAGCACATAAGCGTGGTAGTCGACCACACGCTCCTGCCAGAACTCCTGGAGATCCAGAACGCTGCCCAGCCCCGTCTCCTGGAACACTTGCTCTATGGCATCGGGAAAGCCTGTCTGGCCCGTCTGTGCTTCCCGGTCCACTGTTACACGAAGCAGCTTCGTCAGTTTGAGCATAAATTCATGGGTAATGTCCGTCAGGGTCTCTAGTGTTGACTCCATAGCAGTATCAAAGCCAGCATGTGCCAGTGCCGTTACCACAGCTCTGTGCAGCAGCTGGCGATTCTCCGCAGAGCTCACCTCCATCACGGGTTCTCCACAGCCTCTGCACACACGCATTATATGTAAAATTAAAGACAGGGAATGCACAACTTGAACCATTCACTGTACTAAATGGCTCACCACTTCGCAAAGGCTATGACCACCAGCATACTGAGCTGCCAATGATGACACTTATTTCATAATAAAGATGCAATATAAAGAGTGAACGGACCTGTAGAAATCACCCGTCTCCATGTCCGGGTCACGGAGCCGCATTCTGAGCGTTGAGCCCCCCAGGTTGCTGCTGCCAAGCTCAGTGCCCATGGAAGCGAGCTCTTCGGGCAGCGGTGGGGGGCTGGGCAGTGGGGGCAGTGGTTCCACCTCCTCGCTCTTCACCACCTCACCTGCCCCCTGCTGCTGCTGGGCGCTACTGATAAGCCCACGCAGGCGCCGGTTGTACTGCAGCAGGCGGATGGTGTGCATGACGTGCAGTCCAGGGACCCCGGAGTCAGTGGTCCGGGCCGGGCTGACTGCGCAAGGCTGCAGCATTGCCGGCTCCCGCACCTCTGCCGCACGGGGCTCAGGCTGGAGCAGCTCCACGGCACTGCGCAGTGACTGACTGGGAGACACTGGGATCTCCCCCCAGTACCTCATCATCTTGTCCCTGCTGTTTTGCCTTTCGTTGTTACTGTTGTTTTTCTAACGTGATGGCATACAAAGCCCTGAAAGATTTACAAGAGTTTGCTTTGTTAATGACTTCATTCAGCACAGTGTTGAAAAAGCAATGACTAATTATGAAGCCTTATTCTTTTCACAGGTTTACACGTATCATAATTACGATTAACTGTTATGTCAAAAATATCACCCACAGTGCTATGTAAAATATTAGTGATCTATATGTCCAGAGGATTACAAAAATGTATATAAAGTAATATGTAAAGTATTTTGCCCAGTACAGGGTTGTGTTATTTAACAAAGTATTATATACCGAGGACTGGCTATTTTAATATGCACTTGGTAATGTGTATAAATTAAAAACATGCATATAGAGTATTTGAACATTAATAAGCAAACATATATGAATAAACAATAACACGGTTAAATTTCGATTTAAAGCTTTCGTGACTGCAGGGATTCATCTTCGTGACTTTACCGAAAGAACCAAGAAGAATAACACGGTTTATAATGTGAATGTGACTTTCAAACAAAAGTAGTTAAAATGACCAGACAAGAGAAGTATAGGTAAGATTTGTACTGCATTGGAGAAATCGGATTCCTTCAGTATAAATAAAGATTCTGATTCTGAAATGAAAGAGAATGGTGCTTAGAATTTGTAGCTAGCAGCATCTTGAAGATGATGAACATCGTTTTCAAAAAGAAGGAATCTTGGAAATGGACATGGAAGAGCCCACAATGAGAATTAAAACTTGATCATAATGGACGTACGCCAGGCTGTAAAATGTCAGTAATTTCAACATCGGAAGTGACTAGACTGATGAATTGCAAGGTACACTTCAGCAGAGAAGACAACACCGCCTGCATGCAGAAACAAGATTATTAATATCATGTGGTATAGTATAGGATGTATCTAAATATATACGATACGCAACAGATTAAAATACCACGAGAAGTAAAATTATTAAATGGATGTCAGCACTTTAAATCAAGAAACACCCACAGGAATGAACAGTGTACCACGTATTGAGGGCAAGGAAAAAAATGGCAGAGAACACATAATCTGAAACCACTCTGTAAATAGGAAAAGAATGAGAAATATCAGAGAACACAAATGCAATTGCAGACGTCATCAATAACTGGGAGCATAAAAGCAAGAAAGACCCATAAACACTGGATTAATAGAGAGATAGTTATAGCACATTAATATATTTGAGAAAACAATGTTCTAGATGCCACGCTTGAAGAAGAAAAACAACCGTTATTTATAATATGAAAAACATAAAGTTTCTGGACTAAATGGAATAACTGTGGCAACCAATAAAATATTGATAAATACAAAAAAAGAGAAATAACTAGTAAAGTCGAGGTGTATACACTATGTAGTAGGTGCACAATTAACAAATAAATCTCACGTTCATCAATAACACTGCGTTAAACAGATAGATATAAATATTTATGTATGTGCTATGAACGGGCCACTGTCCAAATCGTCGCCTATATATGGTTTTCCCTTTTAAGGCAATGTGTAATTTAAACGAAAGTGTTGCATTTTTTTGTACGCATAATCAGTACTTTACATTTAGTTTCGCATCAAAGATGTGCACATGAAGTATAAATTTACCCGCATACAGTACCGCATTAAACTATAGTTCTAACACTGTGGGGCACTCCCACCAAGACGTCTGGTCAGCGTGGAAGAGTAGACCAAATACCCTGGAGTGGAAGGGAATTCTATATTTGCCCTCCTGTAATGTTTGTTGTTGTTACTGTCTGACCCGCCCCTACTAAACATGTGTGAAAAAGCTTTATAGCTCATCGGATTCCTCCAGTCTATGCCAATATTACGATTCTGAGTTGCAGGGCTGCACCCTTTAACTGTTACGATCAGTGCACAGATTGAGGTTGGTGTGAGTAATACTGTAGGTACATAAACGTGCGTAAGTCAGTACACCAGTTCACACACCGTAATCGAGAGTAAGACCGCAGTGTAGTTATAAACTATACAACACAATTCATATACTATGCAATACTGTGGCACTCTAGTCGTGCTAGTACATGTTTACCTATACCACCATGTAATACAAAATAGAGTGCAGTACGTACATACATAGCTTGCTATGCTAAACGATTCCAAATCATTGCTAAACTTTACATTACATGAAACCACGATAGGCTAAGCGCTTCGACCTCGTCTTTGTCAGACGCGCAGTGCTACGATTGTCATTGCTTATCTTACTTTATTGCATACAAATGTTGCGCCTTTCAACGTGAGTGATAATGTATTACTCACGGCCCATCGCAGACTAGGAACTTGGGCCTTAGGCCCCGCACGCGTCCGCGCAGCGAAATCTTCCGGCGCGCCCCACCAGCGCGTGGAAAGGTTCCGGCCGATAACAGTCCGGAGGTCAGACGCACAGCAAAGAAATACTGTATCTTTGCAACCCCTTATCACTGCCCTACCTTATTACAGACCTATTCAGACCGTACTGGTCACCCCGTGCCCCTTTATGAATCTCAACGATCGTCCTACAAAGTCCCCCACAAGGGAGAAACACAAACAAATAAGACAACGATTGTGTTGTTCGTATTGAAACGACTTTACGCCGTGTGGACAAGAAAACTCAATTTCCCCGTACAAGGATACGGGTGAACCGTATGGGCTGACAGCTAATGTAATACAGGACCATAATTTATCCGGTTAAATGAAGAGTTAAATTTCGATTTAAAGCTTTCGCGACTGCAGGGATTCATATTATTAGTTATTTTGGTAAAGTCACATAGAAGGGAAATAATAAATAATAAAAATAAAACAATTAAAATTATCACGACGTTTCGATTGCAACACAATCAATCGTCATCAGGTGTGAAAATCACAGCAAGAATTTTTTTAAAAGTGGAGGTTTTTTTTTCTTGACGTTAGCCCCCCCCCCCCCCCATTCAGCACCCGTCCTCCTTGGCTCCTCCTCCTCTCCTTACCCAATATAACAATGTCTCACCACAAACAACTCTCGCTACAGTTATTTTGCCGTGCCCTTTTTTACACCTGATGAAGCTAGCTAGTGTTGCCTCCGAAACGTCGTGATTGAATTGATTTAATTTCATTTATTATTATTTTATTTTTATTCTTTTTTTCCTACGTGACTTTACCGATTAAAACCTAAGAGTATGTCAGCACCACGGACAGCGCGGTTGTTCAGACGGACGAGTTCATTCATCTATGCTCGCAACGGAGGAGGGGGGAGAGAAAGAACCAAGAATAAAAATGAAGAGTTCGTTGTGGTTTCCGGTGCATATTTCCAGATAGTTATAGAAATTGCACGTGCCTCTCATCCACTGTACACTAATAACGCGTTAAATTATACTACTTGTTTAATGTCTTCAGCGAGATGGCTTTACTGGTTGTTAAATTCGCCCTGTGCCGCTTACATTTGCGCTTTCATGCGTATTTTGTAAGCGTGCCTTAACGTGCACAATTAACAGAAACAACTTCAAAACATTCGTCAATAACGCTTCCTTTAATGGGAAAACATAAAATGTTATGTATGAGGGGATGTTGCCCAAAAACGTGGCCGTTTATATATTTGTTCCTTTTAAGGCATACTTACTGACAAAGTGTTTAGTTAACTGTGCCTTGTACACCACTGCCAACCCAGTACCTTCAAGTAATTTAATTTTGAAAGCGCATATACCACTCACGCTGTCAGACCAAATGGAAAACTCGGTGGTACTCGCTAAACCACCGAGTTATGCTAAAGAGTACAATATTATTGGATAAAAGTATTGTATACCATTATGTCATTAAAAAATCATTAATTGGAGCAGTTTTCAATCTGAAACTTGACCTGGGGTGTCAAGAGAAAGTGGACAAAGGAAATGTGACTGCATAGGTTGACCATTGTGTGGTCAGAAAATGCATATCTTAACGAAATTTATATAGCGCCTTAACTAAGGCACTTGGCACAGATTTAAGAACGGCACGACGTATGAATGTGACGGTGGAGATTAGGTGAATAAAATACACGAGAGAGAGTAAGCAATCGGGCGCGCAATCTGTGATGCGTGAATTCGGAAAAAATGCAACTGGTTGACAGTAAATGCCACCTGATGGCCTTCAATTTCAACACATTGTGCACGAACGTTTTTGTATAACCCCCGAGAAAACGCCTCTGCACGTTGAGAAATAAAAATTCAGTTTGGATTTTTTAAAGTTTCTTTTAACGAGTGACATTTCGTATTTGCAAATGCAAACGCTGTGCAAGTAAACGTATATTATGTAAAATGTTCTGCTTCTATTATCGTAAGTAATCGTATCGAAATACCAGATGGAATGCAGCCATTTATGTACGACCAATTAATCTATCAGATTTGTTGCCTTGACATAGAGAAATGCAGTAATCGTAATATTTCAAGCCAAGTACATCCAAAATCGACTTGAAATGCACGGTCACAAAAGCGTGTCATGTTACAAGCTTGTACTTATTTTGGAAGCAGGGGTGCATGTGATACAAGACTCCCAAGGTGCTTATCGATGATATACCTTACTCAAAATTGTAGTCGAGTTTAAAATGTAAAAATAAAATATTTAAAAATACTTTTTGCTAAAACACGCTTTAATGAAATGTACTGTCCGAGCTGCCCCTCCCCCTGCCCCCTTCCCCCATCGCCCCTCCCCTCCTTCAACATCACCAGCCCCTCGGCGTGGCTCCCCGAGGCTTGCTGTCACGTAAGGGACCACGTGGTGATTTACAGTTGAGCGTAGACAATTAGAGCCGTAAAAAATATCGTTTCAAATATTTATTTATAATTTTCAATGATAGAATATAGTATTGTCATCAGTATGACATACCTATACGAAGTTTGCAGTCGATAACACATTGGGAATACGGTTGAAATTGAGTTACAATATTTTTTGGATACAACACATACAGTAAGTTAAATAAAAGCGTGTAAAAAGTTTTAAAATACGTTTTGGATTTTTTTGATAGAATATCGTTTTGTCATCAGTATGACATACCTATACGAAGTTTGCAGTCGATAGCAGATTGGGAAGTGTGTAAAAATTGAGTTACAAGATTTATTTTTTGAAGATACAACAGACGAAGTGAGTTAAATAAAAGCGTTTAATAATAAAAAGACAAATTTTATTCACAAACTGGTGTATATGTACAGTTCATGTACATTTATCTCGACTGTATACTGATGACATCTGAACAATGCAATGCAATATGCGTACAATTATATAAAAATGGGTACATACCGCTCAGCACCTAAAAGCTTTCTATACCTTTATGACCTAAATATATGTTCGTATTCATGTTTTTCAGTTAAATTAAGACTCTCTTGCATTTTTATTTAAATAATCAAAGCGTTCTTACTCTCTTAGTAATTTAACACTGATTGGTTTAATAAAAAAAAAATTCCCATTCCATTTAATTTTTATATTTAAAGCTGGCTTATTTACGTCGACTTGCATTAAGTTATTCCCCATTTGCATTGCTGTAATATGCGCCAAAAAAAGCAAAATGCACGTCGAGTACTGTATTAAAGGTAAATTCAGTGCATGCAATTCCACCAATATATTTAAACTGCCATTTCAACCAGCAGTGAACATATGCCAGTATACTCCCATTTCCCTGTTGGCTCATGCCAAAAAATGTCACAGTAGGCAGTTTACAATGACAAAGCACTATTTCAATTAACTCGAGGTATGCCAGCAGCTGGTACTGTCATACCTATCCGATTTGCTGACATGGCCAAACACTGGGAATAAATCATATATTTGCAATATTTCATATCCAATTGCACTTACATCATATGGACCTGAAAGGGCTTTCACTGAAAATATGACATCAAGTTGTAGCCAGCACTTGAATATGTGTCAACAGCTTATTCACCCAAACTGCTTATTAATTTACAATACACTGACAGTTTGCACGATCTTGGAATTTCCTTTAATTCATGTAAAATGCAATGTGTCGTGAATAATTAAATACATGTCTAAAGCCGTTTGTTAACCTACTGCTGGATGAAGGCCACCACACATCATATGAGTTGTTTGACTATAATTTGCCACGATGGTCAGTGCAGGTTGATCAAGTGTGTGGTGGGGAACACATGACTAAGCTCACTCGACACTTATGTTAGCTATTGCAACAAATTAAACTCAGGTCACCGGGTACATAGCACTGACAACTGCACCCACCACTGTACCCGTACCATTCACCCCACAATAGAAATTAATGCAGTGAATTGTGTAGACAGCATAGCTAATTCACCAATACTGTTTCAGAAACGACAGGATATTTTTAGTGTAGAAAATATTTCCAGACTTTTGACGCAATTTTATTTGAACTCTTGTGGTACACAAACACACAAAGTTTATGTATACAGTAGAAACGCTCGTATCAAAACAAGGATGACATTTCCAGGTCGAACGTCAACGTTGCAGAGTTAAATTCTGGTAGAAAAATGTGAATCCTGATTCAATGATGACAAAATACTGTACAAGGGTTTTTGGAGAGTTGGTGAAATGTGTTTCATAACTAATTTTCAATATACCTGAAACGGCTCACATGTACCATGTTTTGAATTATTTTTTTTACATTGTATGTGCAATAAAACTACAAAAAACAAAATAACCCTTAACACAACTCGTCAACAAAAGATTATAAGTACATGGAAGTGTATACTGTAAATACGCACAATATGAAAGTATTTTTTTTTATTGGAGGTATAACTTATGACAGTGAAAACATTACCTTTCCAAAAACTTATTCTCAACACTCCATGAGTTCAGCAAATAGTACTAGCTACTCGGGTTATTTTAAATTAGTTTTATAATAAAAAAGCAAAATATAAATATTCAATCACTGGAAATATACATTCTTTAAAATTAGAAAGTAATAATTGCAGACAGTATTTACATAATCCAATTCATACCACTAAATATCAACAAGTGCTTTTCTCTAAATGAATATATCTTTTCCATTCTTTAATCTTAATATAATACTGTATTGCACTGTATTCCCACAAATACCAAAAATAACACACAAAAGTGCTGCTTTCATACAAATGATCGATATCTCATTATGCAAATAATGAAATTTAGTCTTTCGTCTCGACACTCTTTGGTAATCCAATCTGTTTTCTCAGTCCTGATAGATTTGGCTTGCACGGCTTCTGTCAAGATAAATAAATTGGTAAATGTTATTGATGTTAAAATGTACTTTTATGATGACTGCAGTTTTTTTTTATTTTAAATATACATGAGATTTGCCGACTATATTGTTTTTATGGGTTTTTTTTTAAAGGGGGATAATGTTGCAAAACTCATTACAGCAGTAAAGGCTGCCATCTGGTGGAATTTTAATATTGAGTTTATTCAACATAAAGTTACTGTTTTGGGTTAAATTATATTTTCAGTAAAAACACCATATGGATGACATCCATATTAAATGTAACGTGAATTTTTTTTTATTTTAATGGTAATTTCATGTAGATTTAACAGTACAGATGTCAGAAGTATGTGTCATAGAAAATGTATATTTGTATATATTTTTTATAAAAGATATAAACAGCAAACTTAAACATATGCAGAATTAAATCATCTTTGATAATCACCTGCATGTTGCACACTACAGGCAGATGGTGAAGATTGGCTAAGGGCATCATGGCTGGACGTCCATGGGCACACTGAAAGGGCAGCTGACACTTGGCTAGATCACGCATCAAACTTGCACACTCATCCCAGGAGAGCTTGTCCCCAAACTTCACAGCACCTGTCGACAACAGAAAATGTTATTTTTTTGCCCAATGGAGCAGGTTAATCTGTCAAAATTAATGACATCATGCCGGCGTATAAAAACACGTCAAAAAACAATCATCATGCAGGATTTTTTTAATATTATACACAGCCCTTTCAATTGTTTGTACAAGAGAGCAGGCTAGTATTTGTCTATTCTCACCATGACAGGCCTGGGAGTTGAGAATCCTGACAATGGCTCGAGGCAACGTTCCCCCGGCACCTCCAGTCTGCTGCAGCAGCTGAGCAGGACAGACACAGCCAAGAATTTTTATTCACAAACATTACTGAAATGTTAATCATATTCACTTTCTCGCATCAATGCATTTTTGTTTCAAACATCGCCATCCTGCATACTTTAATATCAGCTGAAATGTTACCAAAATATCTTCTGAGATCCATGGGTGGCAGATCACGAAAACTTGTACATGTCAAAGGAGCTAAATGTGTAACCATACTGGCTGTGCAAATTCGTGAAAATGCAGAAATTGGGATATTTTGGTCACGTCAAATTATTTAACGTGTGTGAGAAAGTCATCTTAGAATGAGGAAGATCAAACGAACGATAAAAGAAAATCACAAATGATCTACATGAATGAACGAGGCTGGAAAAGCTAGCATAAGATAGGATGTTTCTACGATATCAGCAGAGCTGCATTGTCATGATTAGTACGAGCAATTACTGATGACACCAATTGCCTTCTAAAATAAAACTAAAATAGGAAATCATCCAAATCAGATACTTTAGGTCTTATTTGGTGTTGAAAAGAAGCACCAGAATATGAAAAAACAGCCACAATACGCTTAAATAGTAATTTAATGAATACATTTCATGTAATTACAATTTTAATATTGATCAATTATATTTATAAGACATTTTTTTAATATCTAACACTCAATTTAAAGATTCACCAGATTGGGTTTGTCATGTAAAATGTGTAGGGCATTCTGGGAATTGTAATCATTCATCTTCAAAATTATTAAACCAAAGGAGTTTTTTTTTTAATCGCAAAATGCTAATTCTCCGGTGAGATTTTGTAACATTTTCCCACTAAACCACGTATGTGAAAGTAAATGCCACCTCAAGTTCTTCTCTAATCAGCTCCTGTAAAACATAAAAAAGATACAATTCCAGTTTTAATAAGAGTTTACAGAATTATTAAACCATATCATCACACTTAACTATTAATTTACAATGACGTTAAATCCCCTCATTTCTTGCCTAAATTTTTTCTTCTTTAGAGCCCTTTGCAAATGAAGCCCACCCTATGCCACGTCAGCCATGGGGGTTGTTTGACCATATGTCACCACACTTGTTATTCGCGGACGTACATTTAATTAAAAAAACATTAATAAAACACTATCCCCAATGGCGTTTTAAGCCATTTCACCGACAACAAATGCAGGCATTTTATATAGGGATGGGGGGACGGTGGGGGGGGGGGGAAACTCTTTCCAGTACATGAGTGATTTATAGTACAGGGCACCTCGAGAATGGTGCACGTGATGGGTGGCCGGCCACGACGAGCCTCTCCAGTCTCACGCTCCACCAGGCACACTGGCACTCCGGTCACATGCACCACGGCGGCCTCAGCTGGGAAAGCCAACTGCAGCCCATGCCTCTCCAAGTGCCCTTGGTATGACCTAAGAACCATGCCAAATGTGTATAAAAGATGGGAGTCAGGTGTGCAATAACCCCGAGCTGTACAGCTGTTTCCATCTTGCATGAAATCAGGGTGTCATTTTTAAAGTATATTCGATCACAAAATGTGAGCATAAAGCAATGCAAATTTTTATATATATATTTTTTGCAACATATTGGTGGGATTAACAACATATGCACACAAATAGTTGTTTTGCTTTATTTAGAAAAAAATGTTTCTGTAAACACATTGAATAACAGGTTGAAAATATGCTTCAAAGGTGTTTTAGGTGCAATAAAACATGTGGTATTAGCCAAGCTTAATTCTTTGTAGTATAATTAGAATCAAGTGCAATGTAAGTAATACCTTATGAGGTTGATCTCGTGACAATTAAACTCTAATGCCATGGGAGGCACAACCAGTGATGTTCTCATCACTCTTTTTCCAACATCAGCAGAATCCTCAGGCACTTCAAAGAGTTCTGTGACAGCAAATAAAATGTGTCAAAACATGATGAATTAGATGAGTAATTTTATAATTGCATAATCATCATTTTTCTTACCAAATTTAAATGTTCCACACACTTTTTAATGTACTTCTTTTGCTGTTTGCAACAAAATGGTTTAGATGTTGGTTCATATAGAAATTGAAGGCATTGATGAAAAACATTTTACTTATAGATCATTCATTGTAACGAAGAAATGCAATGGTGTTCAGTATTCACATGTTAGATGCTGCCATTGCTCATTACAGAAAATATATACATAAACACAAGGCGATCAAGGTATAGCAGAAGTTATTCTTGCGTAAATGCACTCATAAACACAGTTCAATTCTTGTGTATGGAAGAAATATGTTCAGGAGTTAAATGCCAATGTTGAGGTCTGCCAGCCACGAGAGGGGTTCAGGAGAGTTTGTGTAGGTATTTTCACATATCTGAATTATGTGTGGCTTGAACATCAGGCTTCTCTCCATGATAACTGCTCGATATTTTGGGAGTAGGGTAATTAGACACTGGAATACCACAGGATGATGCATCAACGGTGGCATCTGCTGCACGATTGTTCAGGTGGAAAGCACTTGTGGTAAAGCGAACAGCGTTGTCATTCTGTCTGTTCCCAGGGTTCAGATTGGTTGGAGGTCATGGACGCAGTAATTTCCCAGCAATATGATTGGCTGCAGCCCACATTCCGGCCAGCGTGTGGAAGGCGGGGGGCCCTTGGGAAGGGTGCACGAGGTGGGGTGGATGGTTGGTGAAGGAAGTGCCCAATCACAGTTCAGATATTCCTCGCCACAACATTTAAGCCAAGGCCTGGAATCGAACTCAGGTTGTCCAGTCTATAGCGCACGGTCCACACCAGTTCCGTGTAGTGTATTGTCATAATTTTTAATCGTAAGATATTAACTATTGCACAAGGCACATCCAAGTGGTAATGCACGGCAAAGTAATATAAGTGATGCTATATACCAGCTGTCAGTTGCTCTAGTCGTACTCTCTCATGGGCCGCATGCTGATCCACCAGAATGAGAATATTCAGATCTACATTACAAGACAATCTTTTAGAGCATGCACTTCAAAAGGCATTACATTTACACATCATTGCTACAATTAGCACAACACCAAGATTATACATTTTCGTAAATTATAATTCACAAGGTTGTGAAAAGAATACAAATCATTACTAAATTCATAACCTTAATTTAATTAAACACATGATGCGCCAATTAAATGGTGATTTAAAAAAATTCAAATGCATATTAAGGATCTGAATGGATTGCAGTGTGCAAAACAATTCAAGAATCCACCACATCTCCATGAACATTGCCTTATATTAACATATTAGCTAACTTTTCAGTCGATGACCCTTTTACCACTCATAAAGGCTCATTGTCCGATTGGGCGGGGCTAGAAGTGGGAAGCTGAATGTGGAACATGGGGGGAAAAATGATTCAGGGTTGTGATTCAATTCAAAAATGTTATTTCCTGTCTCGTTTTTACCATCTTACTTATATTATTAACCATTGTTTTGTCTCTCATTACTGACCACTCCATTAGCCTGCCCATAAGTAATCGAATGGTCCCACCCACAATTCTATACATGTCTTGTAAGAAATATACTTTGTTTTAATAATTGAATCAATTCATTTACAGTAATAAAACAGCGGTATGTAAATATACCTTACCTTTTTGTCTTTCAGGTCCCTTATCGGTACAGAGACAGACAATAAACTTCTTGTCAACTTGCTGAATCACCTGTTAAAATCAATGTGGCATAATCACACGATATATTTAACCCAGGCTTATACCTTTCGCTAATAAGAAGAGCCACTGCCTTGTTTCAGGACATGTTATTCATCACCGCTGCTTAATTTTGTCATGACAATGATACATAGTGGCCTTCTATGGCATAAAGTCTTGTGGGGTGGGGCAGATTTTAAGTTCAACCCCTGTTTTTTTACGAAAACTGTAAAGCACTGTAATAGGGTTTGATTGGTAGAAATGTTGAGCAAAGATAGGAAAGCTACCCAATAAAGTGACATTTCCACTAATTTCAAGTGTCAAACATCAACCCTTGTATTAATTTCAATTTGGTTGTCGTTATCTATACACTGTTTAGATATTTAAATGTGCTTGAAAAAAATGGTAAATGCACACAAGGGTAGCACAAACATCTATGCTGGAGTTTAGTTATGATATGAAATGTTATTATACTGTTCAGAAAGTTTTTCATTGTTTAAGGTGATAAGGTACACTCTTGTAATTAACGTCTTGCTAACATTATTTAAAGAGCAGAATCTATACATGACGAACATTTTCTTACCTGCAGAGAGGCAAACATGTCTTTTGTAAACTTGAATGGGTTCAGAATATTATGAACTTTGACAGCCTTTGCATTCATTGAATTTGCAATAGTATCCACTGCTACCTGCGAAATAGAAATATGTTTTTATACATTACTATAGTACATACTCAAAACTAAGGAAGCATTTAACTTTGGCAATGCAAATTAGGCTTTGAACTTACTTCTGGAGGTCGATAAAACACTGGATTTTCCCATTCGGAAAACAAGGCTTTAACTGAATTTATGCTGGAATCGTCACCTAAAAAACATAAAAGTGAATTATGGATTAACAAAATGATCTTACAGCATTGTTCTTAACATGACAAGATTTCCCATCCCTGCAATATTTGTGGCTTATCAACAATGAATGTGAATTGATCAAATGTAATTGTCATCAGCCATGATCAATCTCCTATTGATCCTGCAATGCAACAATCCATCCAGCACCTGCACATGAATTGACCTCATCGCTCCATCTCCACAGTGGATGACCTCATGGACACTTTCCATCTTGGGCTGCCATGCCACTTCATAATTATTCCTGTGCATCTTCCATCATCACTTCAAGTGACATTTCCTGCCCAAGGCCTACTTACTTTTATTAACAGTCAACATCACTATCATGAGTTATGGTTCCATCATTCTGCCTAAGTGTTTCCATTTGTGAATTGCCAATCATCAAACTCTTTTTTTTTGCTGTTAATGCTCCCATTGCTTGCTATGACGTCTGCAATGATATTTGTGTTCCGCCATCCGATTTCTTTTCTCATTATTTTCCATTTTCTCCTTTTCATCACCACGTATTATAATTAGAGTAAACAAAGGTTTAATGGGTGTATCCTGAGATGAGACACATTTTTCATGTCATATTTTGAACAAATGCGTTAAATACCCTTTGGTTTTTTCGGTAAATTACGTAGGTTAAAAAAGAAAACAAATAAATTAAATCACGACGTTTCGGAGGCAACACAAGCCTCCGTCTTCAGGTGGAACCGTCACAGCAAAATCACTGCATCAAGTGAAGAGACCTCCAAGAGACACGACCCTCTTGGAGGTCTCTTCACTTGATGCAGTGATTTTGCTGTGACGGTTCCACCAGAAGACGGAGGCTTGTGTTGCCTCCGAAACGTCCTGATTTAATGTATTTGTTTTCTTTTTGACCTACATGACTTTACCGAAAAAACCAAAGAGTATGTATCCTTGCAGTCACGAAAGCTTCAAATCTAAAATGCGTTAAAGGTAACGGTGAGAGCAGCCAAGGAAGAGTGTTACTCCTAGAGCAGCGGTCGGGAACCTATGGCTCGCGAGCCATATATGGCTCTTCCGGTGACGGCATATGGCTCCCAGACAATTTTGAGTTGAAAAAAATAATAATAAAAAAATAATAATAAAATCAGTTTGGAACTGATTTTAAAATACTTGTGATATTGCTTAATAATAGTGTGTCATTTTAAAGTAAACAGAAATTAGTTTTGAAGGTAAAATTTCTCGGGTCACGAGTTCCGTGACCAGAAGTCGCATTAAAAGTAAGACATATTTAATTTATTATACGTAAAAAATACTATATGGCTCTCAATGAAATATATTTAGAAATATTTCGCTTTTATGGCTCTCCCAGTCAAAAAGGTTCCCGACCCCTGTCCTAGAGGGACAAGAGAGTGGGAAAATTGTGCCCCCTACTGTGTGAACCAGAGGAAACTTGAAGCGATCTCAGAGAGAACTCTGCGCTATCCACTAACGTGGGAACGTTCTCAAAAACGAAGGGTCGCACTGCTCTCCGAGAGATTTGAATGGGACACTTTTTCTGATGACGTGACTCCGATAGCACACTCGGGATACAATTGGGGAAATGAACAAAGACTTTGAAAAGTAAAATGTACGCATGTTTAACTTCTTTCGCACAATACGTAGCCAACCGTGGTAAATCGGAGGTACGAACAGCAACTGAATGCAAAACAGAACTGAGGGACATTATCTTATGAAGATTTGAAAAACACCTTATGCCTCACCATGTTTTGTTTCTCCTTCCTTCCACTTGCTGCCGACCTCAGCGTTACAGTCTGCCACGTGCCGTTTCCATTCCTCCGTTAAAGTAGAGTCAGACCCGTTTCCGCCAGTGTGATTTTTGCCAAAGTTGCGTAACCGTTTCTCCTTGGGCCGCGGTAGAAACGGCTGCGCGCAGTCGGTGATAAATGGCTGACAGCTGGATGAACGCCCTTCACGCGCAAACACAGAGTGACGGCTTGCCACCTCAACACATAGCGTACACGATATTGGCACCAGTTGCAATGTATTATTTTATGTTAATAGTGGACTGCCCAGCTTCACCAGGTCACGCACCTTGTTAATTGTATAATATCCGTCCGCAACCAACACACACAGCTCCGATCTCCCATATTTTGCCCCCCCCCCACCTATTTCACACAACTTCACACCCCTCACATGTTCATTTTAACAAAAGAATGGCCAACTCTGTAAACTCCCAAAAATGAGCTGTGGAAATAGGGACGTGCATAACGTGTAGGCCATTGTCTAATCTTGGAATTTACCATGCGTAAGAAATGTGAAGAAAAAAATTGTTTAAAATAATGTTAATAGTATAAAACCAAAGTGCATTAACATAACAGTTTTTTTTAAGTAAAAAAAGGGACTAATGGTTGATATTACATGCTGCAGAGATATTACTAATACACATATCCATTTAGATAAGAAATGTTGTATTACGTTTACGATTCAACTCACCAGATGAGTTGACGACTAAAACATTCATGGTGCAGAATCCTTGGACGCATGCAACCTGAAGATCAGCTGAAGGTGGCGGCTTGTAGCTGCTTAATCCTGTTTTTAAATTCACGTAGACCCTTTTTTCCAACAAACTATCGTAATGGCTCACCCAATCGGATTTGATTTGCGCACCAGATGAAGATGATCCAATTTCCGTTTTTTTGTTTTCACGATTCAAATTGTCTCCGGTGACCTCTGTGTTCACGTTTTTGATTCTGTGATTGTTTACAGTTCCTTCATCTTCCAACGCAGCAGTTTTCTCACGTTCTGCACTTTCACAAATGTTTACAGTCTCTGAGATGGTAGGCTGAACGATACACCCTTGAACAGAATCAATTATACATTCTTCACTACAAGACTGTTTGCATACTTGATTGTCAAAGGGTTGTATATCACCTTTATCAGCCACATCAACATGTTTAGAATAACCTAAATAGTCTGCCATGCAATCCTTTAAAGGCACATGGCAGTGTTTTGTCAAGGACATGGCAGGTGCTGTGGTGTCAGTGTTTTCCATGATTACTTTTTCCTCTTTTTGTTCCTTTTCACCGTGGATTTGAATCACACTACGAGTTGTTTCACTGCAGTGAACCTGAATAATGTGTTTCTTTTTAACATCTTCTGATAAATTAATCTTCTCAAGTGAATGTATACCTGCTGAAGAATTTGAAATGGGTCTATGCTCTTTGGGATGAGTACAGCCTTTTAACTTTGAAAGCTTTTTTGACAAACTTATTGAAGATGTGTTATTTGTTACTGTATTCTTTTCAAAATATTTTGCTAGATTCAAATCTCTACTGTCTTTAATGTGTTCCTTTGCGGCAATTTCAGAAAAGCTATTGTGATGCAAAAACGTTCTTTCTGTTTTGGCATCACTGGAATGTAACGCCAATACCCTGGATGAAATGTGGGAACTTTTTGCTGACAAAAATTGCTGACATTTAATTGATATTGGTTTTATTTTATTTGCCAAGGTGTCAGGATTATCAGAACCTTCAGCAATGTTCTTACTCAGTGGTGGAAACAAAGGGTGTGAAATAGCCGAACCTCTGTTAGCATTTTCATGCTCGGAACTGCCCATTTTATTTTCAGAAAGCGCAATCTGTGTAGCACACTTTGCATCCGAAGTTCTTCTGAACTTTCCCAAAGAGTTTGTTATAGAAGAAATGTTGACGGGATAACTTGGTTTTTTAACTGTGCTGCTCGGTGGAAAGGGCAAAGCCAGCCTATATTTGTCAAAGTAGTCAGTGTGCAGCTTGCCGACAGCCGTTTGAAAGCACTGTCGGCGCATATCACCGTCAATTCGAATATCTTCCGTGAGCCTTCGTTTTAGACTCTCTGAAGTGGGCTGAGAGAGGCTATGATTCACACATGGTTTCTTTGGACAGAGTCTGATTTCCTTCCAACTTCTACTGATGCAATTGAGTTCGCCACCACTGGCCTCATGATCGGCTACATTTTGACCACCATCCATCCTTTCAGTGTTTGCTTTTAAAATTTCCCAAGCATTTCCTGGTCTCAATGGTTTTAAATGTAATTGATGACAAATGTTTGTAGTATGACATCCATCAGTAGAATCGTTTGATTTCATGTGTGCCTGTAAGTTGTTTCGACAAACTTGTTTTGCCTTATTTCCTTCAAAACGGTGCAGCATTTCACTTCTTGGCAAGTCACAACAATCCATATTTATATCCTGTGTAGACTTAGGACCCCATTGAGCAGAATTAAAATGAGTACTTCTCTCTTGATGAAAACCAGGATTTGAAATGTCCGATTGCTTTCCGGTACTACAAATAGGGTCAAACTTGGATTCTTCAGGTATGGTAGTGCTAATATGCTGTTGTACACCACATAATTGTAAAGTATGGTTATGGGAAGCAGTGTCTTTCACAGAAAAATGTTCAGCGTCCAGATGTCTTTTCTGCTTACAAAGTTGATGTGCCCATGTTTTATTCATGCAACTGCATGTGCCAATACAAGTTTCATTGTCAATATCCAATAAATGATTAAACCCTTCAACATTATTCGGCGTTGCAATGTCTGCAATGGATGATTCACTATTTGTATGTTCAGAAGACTTGTCAAGTATGACACTACAGACAATGGCATCTGTATTGGAACTAGATAAAGAAATTCCAACACTCCCTTGATCATCACAAATCACATTATCTTCATCCACTGTGTTATCAGTAGGCAAATTGCTTGTTGATTCCAATATTACACTGCCACTGTTTCCTGTGCTCGTTTCACCTAAGCTTTCTCTGTCAGGTGAATCGTGGTTGGACTCCTCATCTACAAATATGTCTCTTTCGGCAGGTGCGTTTATTTTACTGTTAATGTTTTTATCAGTTGTTGGTACTTGCTCTGCTGCAGTTTCCACCTCTGTCTGCTTGAAATTGTCCATGTTAAAGTCCACCACTGTTTCTTGACAATTACTTGGTACTTCACTAACAAATGTGCATTTCCTTTTCACACTGTGTGACTGAAGTTCAGGGCCATAGATCTCAAGAGAAGCAAAGCTTGGTCTAGCTGGAGATTCTCCGAGAACACCAAACTCTTTGGCATCTTCCGTTGAATTTTTTGTGCAAGAATGGCCTATGATAAAGTCGTTATCCAGCAACTCTTGCTTAATGTCTTCTCTCGAGATATCTTCCCGAGCGGAAAGATTTTCCCTCTCAAGAAATTCCTTCACTGACGTTTCCACACAGCCCAAAACATTTTCCCAATCTTGGAACTCAATTAATGTTTTCATAGGGTCCAAGCAGATGTCATAGTCAGACAAGGGACAAGTTATATTCAATACAAAAATCCCATGAAGCTCTGAATTTCGCAGACTACCTTCCTTCTTGCTTGGGCTTATAAGAGGGTCTTTCCATGCCCATTTTTGGCAGATTTTCTGCTTGCAAATAATGCTCAACTTCTTTATCAAGATGTTAACAAGTTTGTGCAGTTTTGTTTTGAGCACAAGCCTTCCATTGACATATATGAACTGCAGGTTCTTGTTGTGATGGCCTTCTCGACCAATATATCCAGCGATCTGAATTTTTTCAGACTGGTAGTTTATCTCTGAGAGTCTTTGTGCCTTGGTCTGCCCAAATATCTGTCCAAAGCGGGAAAGCATGCTGTTAGTACGCTGGCACTGAACAGAAACAGTGCCAGTGTTTTCGTTTTTCAATGTGAACGAAACTTGATGATGAACCAGAGCTATTGCCTCTATTTTCTGACGAATCTTTTCATATTCCAATATTGGTGGAATGCACTTCCTTCTAACTGGCAGGTTATAGAAGAAATTGTGTACAGTAACTGTCGTTCCATGGCTTGGTCTGATTTTTTCCGCTTCATGAACAATCACCGACTGCATGTCCTGAATGACTTTGGTGTAAGTTCTTGAGGAAGATGTTGCTCTGGAAGTAATCTCAACAACACTCGATACACTTGCAATGCTAGCAAGGGCCTCGCCCCTGTATCCATAATAGCGGAGGTTCTCAAGATCTTGTATTTCGTGGCACTTGCTTGTAAAGTAGCGATTTCCTAATACCTCAAGATCATTACTGGTAATTCCATTGCCATTGTCAACCACCTGTAAAATGACAAAAAAAATCGCATCTCAAAAGGTGAAAGCAATCAATTAGGCCTTACATTAGCCCCATGCATAAAGCGATCATCTAAAAATACAACTTGATAAAGGAACAAAGTATTGCTTTGGCTGTCAGAATGATATTGAAACCAAAAAAGTATGCTAAGTTCATAACATGATTTGTTCACACTAAATGCATCTACATATGCTACACATTTTCTAGGACTTGATTCATTGATTAATATTAACTTTTAAGCTCACATTACATGCATCGAATTCCATAATAATCAATGTTGTTCTATTCTAATAGGTTGATGGCAATGGGTCCAAGTGACCCACATGACAACCTTAGGTTGCTACATTTACCACAATGTAAATAAATGAAGAGTAATAATACAAATTATTTTTGAAGTGCAATGCAAAGTGAAACTATTATATGTAACATTTTGCTGGGTAGCCCATATCAGATAAGAACATTCATGAATAATAGTGTCCATCTCATTACCCACAAACATTATTCCTATTATCCACCATAAAAAAATCATGCATATTGGGATGAACTTAGCACTCGGTGCACTTCCGTAAATGTTATCCGTTATGGCCATGAATAAAATAATGAATGTTCCTTTCTGTACAGTTTTGTGTAATAAACCGTGGTATAGGGTGTTGTGTTTTGCAGTTGTGGCAGTGAATGGAAATGACAGCGTAGACTTAAGATAACATTATCACCACCCCTCATGAACAGACCTACCACTACCCCTTAACACATGTATGGAGTGCTAGGTTGCCTGTGCGTGACTCCTTGCTACTATTTGAGACATTCATGGACAGTCTGAGTGCCTATTTGCAGATAATGGGAAATAAGCATGGATAAGTCCAACCTAGGAGTCATGAATAAGAAGCCCGCAGAAAAAATGCATTTCACTAAATATATCACCTCCAACTATTATCAAGGGAAATGTACTACCTAGAAAAGGCTTCATATAGATAGCCATTGGTGCTTAATTATAGACTTTTTAACAGACAAAAGAAAGTATGTACCCCTACACATTATTATCAATTTTACCTGGAACATTACTCATTAATGAGTGGCATGGCGTATCCATGGCTGCGTTTTGTCACGATTGCCAGGCACAACATGTAAACAACTGCACGCACCTCATAAATAATGAAACATTTATCCGGCGAGTACAGATGAGACTCAACACCTCATTAACCAAGCGACCCTAGTGATGAAAAGGCATGTCATGTCAACATCGTCGTCGTAATGCTGGTGGGCATAAACGATCCACGATTGGACCAGTCGCCTGTGACCCCAAAAAGTGTTCCGATGCCAAGTATAGCAGTTCCACAATAATATTGGACAACGTTATTCAAAATCATCATAATAACACGTGGTGTTATTTAGAATGTAATTGTATATAGATTTAGTATAGAATATTAAAATCGTTAGACACGTGCATCATCAAAGTGTGGATGCAAACATGTTTTTTTCTGAGTACGCCCGTGTCTGATTAATGAATTACAGTGTTAATTGAATTACATAGTACACCCAATTAAAAAAAGCCACTTCAGGAGTGCGAGTAAAGCTTGTTACAAATGATCAATTACCACTCCTGTTGAAATCCACACCATATTCTGGTTTCTTGAATGATAATATAACATGTAAAAAAATAAAAAAAGCCACCTCATGATTACACCAACGCTTACCCATTCCTTCAAAAGCGTACGTTATGAGTGGAAACGCTCGGCAGCTTCCACAAACAAACCTGGAAGCGGAAGTCTTCCATGTGGAGCCGTGCCGCCACGCAGCTGGCACCCGCGTCCAGGCTGTTGAGCAGCAGCTCCTCCACACACTGACTGGCCGTGCTTAGGGCCACTCCTGAGCGCAACCTCGCCTGCACCTCTGGGGGCAGCTCCTGCAGCATGGGTGCACTGCAAACATGAGAGAGTCAAATACTGGTGAGCGACAAATTCCGCGCCTTTTTTCTGGGAACTTGTTCAGGCTTACACAAGGGGGGTGATTATTGTGCATCTCCTACGTGATAAAGACGTACCCATCGAATACCGCTAATTTTTTACTAGAAAGAACAAAAAAATTATTAACGTAATACTCTTAGGGGAAGCTCCTATGTTTGACCGTTTTTGAAATATTCAGATTTTAACATCATAAAATGTGCATGTTTTGTGGTTTAAACCGGCTTGAATCCAAAATATCTCAAAAACAATAAAAGATGGTTTTCGCTTTAATGTTATTTGCTGTTTAATGCTCTATCAAACGAAAAAACTTCGCGATATTATATTTTAATGGTTTGTGAATGACACGCACAAACGTGTTTATGGGGCACTTTAAAATCGAGATTTATGGGCCTTAAAATGAAAATCTCGGATTTTCAGATTTCCTGTTGTGTCATAAAAGCTACTGTGGTGCCACGACCACGGAGCAACTCCGCAAGCGCCGCAATTCCCCCCTACCCCCCACCCTGAGCACACGCACGCACCACACACACACACACGTAGTGTCCTGGCGGAGGATCGCCTGGCACAACGGGTTTTCATCCGAAGGGCCCCGAGGTGGGAAGTCCCGCGGGTTCCCGGTGCCAGGAGATTGGCCGACCCTCCCAGAACAAATCACATTGCGGCGCCCCTAAATTGGCTTAAAATTGCATGAGAGCACAAAGGTTCACCGGGCCAGCCGCAATGAGTCACGCACGACATCGGGGAGAGGGCTGGGGTAAAATATTAAGCGAAAGGAGGAACCCAGCGCTAGACCAATTACACACTAGCCAGGTGTGTATTCGCCAGCCGGACGCCCTCCCATATTAAACAGGGCGATCAGAGATTAATGAGTAAGGGAGCAGAGACAATGGGCCGAAAAATAACGTAACGCTCCACGTAAGGGCAGGATAGCGTAACCCCAGATGTTTTTTTTTATCAAGGGGTATAAAAAGGGGAGCCCGAAACGGTTCAAGTCAGTTCTCCTCTCCAACCTCTTGGCCGCTAAGACCGACTGTCTCCTCAAGCCGTTCGCAGCATCCGTGTGATGCCAGCGAGTGCTGCTACGAGGCAGTGATAGGCAAGGTTTTATCGTCATTTTCCCTCCGACTCTCACTGCGTCCGTGCGACGCCGTGAGTACATCTGCGAGGTACGTGATAGGGCGTGTGAATGTTTGGGGAATCGGATAGTAGTAGGACAAGCTCTGCTCACAAAATATTCCCTCGGGCAGTGCAGGGTTTACGCCGTGAATAAACGTTAGCACAGAGCCTCGGTGTGGTGCGAGTGATTTATGTGTGGAGAGCGAGAGCACGAGTGCTCGATGAGATAATCGCCTGCAGGAGCGCGCGCGTGTTCGCGCCGCCGCTGTAGCGCTAGTCTTTGTGCGGACGCGGATTTGGATGTAACCGCCTGCAGGAGCGCGTGCATTTGCGCAGTCACTAGCTGTAGTGTGTTAAGAGGAAACCGCTCGCAGGTTTGGGTGCGGTCGTACAGCTGTGCGCCGCGTTGGTGTGAGTGTTGGTGTGTGTGCGTGTGTGGAATAACCCCGTGCGGCGGTCAGCCAGCGATTTAGCTACGTCCCTTAGAGGGAGCCCGGCGGGGGCCGATCGACGCGGTGGAGAAGGGAGTGGAGGGGGCGGACATCGCACCCCACCTGCCCGGCGAGGGCGGGGGGTAGACGCCGCCCCCCACACTACCTATATACCACGTTTCAGATATCTACCTGGTCGGGAAGTACCCTATAGGTTTTTTGAGACAGATTAAGGTCTTTATTTATGCAGATAAGGACCAAATCCACCTCCGATTAGCACGGTTTGGCTGTGTACGGTGCGAAAGGTCAACGCACATGCATACACGCAGCCACTACGAGGCAACATTAAAAAAAAGGTTATACAAACCTCATGTTGATTGATCTGAAAACGCCATATTTTCTTACTGAATACAAGTTCCCAGATGTGAGTTACTATACATCTCAAGAATGGCAGAGTACTAAATAGACCCAGGGGTCAATAGATTGCGCAGTTGTTAAGCGGGCTGCCCTCTGAACCTGGCAACCTGAGTTTGAGTCCTGGCGACAGAGAAGGCTGCGATGAGCGATATGCGAACGGGCCATCTGGGCCCCCCTTCACCAACCCGTCAACCGACGCGGCGTGCAACAGGCCTCTAACAGCCAGCGGTGAATGGACATTGTTAAGGACGCGTACAATGTTAATATTCGACAAACGCAAGCCTGCGTGTTTTAAAGCATCTCGTCGCGCATCCTTTTGACCACCAGTAAACGCGAATCAAAAACACTGAACAACGTTTCAGTTTCCATGTATTAGGTATAGCCCTGTGAGCCATTCGGCTTTTGAATCGGGTGCAACTGCAACAAACAAAAAACATGAACAAGAAAACATCTTAAAGTGAACGTACGTTCCCACACGACAACAGCAGCAGCAGCAAGACCGCGTGGCCAACACACACACACACACGCCGCTTGAAATCGTCAATTTTTTAGTTTTTCAACGACTGGCGCGCGGAACTATTTCGTCGGCGCGTAGCGACACAGCGGCGACAGGGGGGGGGAGGGGGCGGGGGGTGAGAGGCGAAGGCGGGGCGAAGGCGGGGTGGGGGCGGGGCGAGACGGGCGGGGCGAAGGCGGGGTGGGGGCGGGGCGAAGGCGGGGTGGGGGCGGGGTGAGGCGGGGCGAATGCGGGGTGGGGGCGGGGCGAAGGCGGGGTGGGGGCGGGGCGAAGGCGGGGTGGGGGCGGGGCGAAGGCGGGGTGGGGGCGGGGCGAGGCAGGGTGGGGGCGGGGCCAGGCGGGGTGGGGGCGGGGCGAAGGCGGGGTGGGGGCGGGGCGAAGGCGGGGCGAAGGCGGGGCGGGGGCGGGGCGAAGGCGGGGTGGGGGCGGGGCGACGGCGTTGCTAGGCGTTGCTAGGGTGTGCAGCGGCAGCAGTGGCAGCGACCTCGCACCCAACATTGGGCAGATGTTTGGTGCGCGTTTGGCCAGTTTTTAAGTTCAAAGTTTTGACGCAACTTTTATAGAAGGCGTTTTTTGTTGTTGTTGCTGATGCTCATTTATATCGTCGTCGTCGTTATTAAAGTCCGTCTGTCTCGACGTCCAATCATTTCGTCGGCGTCTTTCCAAGTGAGTAACAATTGTTTGTTTGTTGTTACGATTCGTGTGATTGTCGGTTTAACACGTCGGCTTTCGCGACCAATATCATCCAGAATACAGGTTTACGTGACAAACCTTACTAATCGGCTGTCTGGTGGGTGACTGGTTTGACGACATGTTCACATGTACGCGATATATATAAAGAAAACATTGTGTGATTTGTAAGAAATGTCGCACTAACACGGCGGCGGTGGTGGTGGTTGTGGTGGGGGGGGTCGAACGTACGGTCGTGGTAACGATATGAACAGTGGGACAGTATAAAGAGCGGAGCAGCATACTCTTACACGTAGTTTTGTTACTGTTAACGTGTAGTTTGTTTTAAAGCGGTGTGAGTGTTATTTGTTCGAAGTCGGTCAGTGCCATAAACTTGCGGCGGGGTGGGGGGGGGAATTCGAATGTTATATTTCGGAAATAAAAGTTATATAGTGTACATTTAACATAAAGCCATTGACTTTATGGGCTTATTAATACACACCGCATGTATTGTCAAGACTGTTTCAAACATACACAGTGTAATTGGCGCAATAGGAACATAGATTGCCGGTACACAAACCTTTGGAGGGACACTCGTTTAATTTTCCATTCCCTTCCCGTCCAAAACGGAAAAATCTAAATGTAATTACAAATGTAATTTTACGTGAACGTTAACTACTGTAGTGACGATGTAGATTGCACTGCAGAAGTCGAAAACCATTGATTGTTTTACATTGATACAACTAAAATTATAACAAAATATCACCATTTCGCAGTTGTTTTTTTTAAGCACCACTCTGCCATGCTAATGGTGAGCACCAGCGTGGTAAAAAACAGCGTGCAGAGATGTTCATCCAGTAGTTATGCAAATCATTAATAAGTGCCAACATTTTGAAACGTGAAAACATCACGGAAATGTGAAGCAAGCTCATAAAAAACATGTAGTGGTGGTTTATGTGGAATACAATCTATTATTTGCAGAATAAAAAAAAGAACTTCAAAACTGCACAGTTAACTTGGGACATTTCAGTGCCACAAAGCATTGTGTACATTGACTCATGCCAAAATGCTGCCGACTCTGTTAATAATTCAGTAAATTCCCCGGCAGAGTTGTAATGCATGCTCTTGGAGTCAATGCACTCCGTAAGCCTCCCTTGGCAGCCAATATGCTTACCACATTCCATCAAAAAGCCATACATGTTAGGTGATAACTATTGCTGGTGGCAAGTTGAAAGCGCACACGGAGAGCATGTCCAATGGCCATTTAAGCGAAGTTTTACAACAGTGCCATTTGGCATGCATTGTTTATTTATTATTTGACTTCCAAGACAACACTGCCACTAAGCCATGCTGGAATGCAAATAACGCTGAGTAAATATTTGTCAAACTTTTTTTTTATGAAGTTCAAACTTGCATAACCCATGTATGCACTTAAACCTCGGTCAGGCCAATACGTTAAATGTATTTTCCTACAGACAATATGCCAAGCAATTATAATGTAAAGTTACATCCTTAATTTATTTCAACTACATTCGATAACCGCAGCAGAAACTAATGTATTTTATTCCAAATTACCCATTACTCGGGGGGTGCATTTTTGAATCCGGAGAATACGGTATTAAGAATTGCTTTTATCCTTGTAAAATTCTGCACATTGTTGAAACTGGACATCTGTGAAAAAGAGCTTCATTGGATTCCTCCAGTCTAAATACAGATTATTATTCTGATTTACAGAACTGAGTGAAGATCATGAAGCCGGCGGGTCAGCTTGGGTATCCCATGGCCAAAGAGCCTTCTCGGTTGCTCAAGCTTCAAAAAGAGTTCCAGGAGAGACTGCTAAGGGAGAAGGAGGCCACTCTTATAGCCATGCAAGGGGCCCAGTACCAGACTGCGTTCTTCAGCGACAATCAAAGAAACGTAAAAATGCAACGCATGCCTTCGGGGTGGAAATATCCTCACACGTTTCCCAGAATGCCATCAAACACACGACCACCACTGCAGTTTTTACCGCAGCCTCCTGCACAGCCTCCACCTTCTTATCTGCGACAGACACAGTATGGCATGCAGAAGCGAAGTGCTGGCATTGACAGAGCCAAGCCTCTGCCGCAAATAAAAAAGAAAAGCTCGAGCTTACACAATATATTTCAAACACCACAACCGGCATTCCCCCACTACAAGGCTGGAGATACATTAAAGGTGACCGACCGATATCCAAGTGGACTGTTAAAATTGCCACCAGTTGATGTGGACAAGTCCAAGCAACCATCCAACTGGACAACTCAAAACCAATGTCAGAACGATGTTGCTCACATTTCAAATATTGGTAAAGCAAAATACATAGAGACGACACCCAGCGTAGACGCTAATTCAGGTGCCACAAATACCTCTGACAACCTACCTCTACTGCCACAGTCTTACCAACAGCAGGTGATTGAATCTCACCAAGCACATGCTCCTTTAGAAAGGAGCAATCTAACTACTCCTCACTGGATGGTTCAGAAACAGAAAGATGATGAAGAAAGCATTGAAGAAGAAATTCAAAGAAAGGAACGTGAGATCTTGGCAAAACTCAATAAATTTCAGGAAGAGTTGCAGATTATTCAGAGAGAAAGACAAATGGCAGAAGAAGAAGAAAGGCATTTAGAGCCTGCAATCCAGGGCATTACAGAAACGCATTTCATGGACAGGCACAAGGTTATCCCTGCCATAACAAGGACTGGCGATTCCAAAAAACTACCATCACTACACGGGAATCAACATGACAATAAAAATCAACCAGGGATGGAAGAGGAACAATTTGAAAATAAAACTTCCAAAGAAACCCATCATGAGGAGGAATCTAATACACCACATTCAGTAGTAACTTCTAATAAGTCAAAAAACATGACCAACCACAAAAGTGGTAATGTTGAAGATGATGTCATTTCTATTATTGATGAAACACAGGACTATGAATATCAACAGAATTTCACAGATGAGACAGACTACCTTGCCGACCAAGAAACCCTCGATCTTGCCAAGTGCCACACTTGCGGACGGACATTTGCGAAGGACAGGCTTGAAAAGCATGCAAAGATCTGCTCCAAGACCACTCAGAAAAAGAGAAAAGTGTTTGACTTTTCAAAGATTCGAGTTGAAGGAACCGACATGGAACAATTCTGCAAAAAGAAAAGTAAAACCCCCGAACAGGTATGTGAAAAATATCTTTACGAGTTATTAAGTCAGCACAATTTAATCATTTGGTGTAGCAATGGTTCAGCGTTTAGTGCAGAGGGTCAATATATCCAGCAGCCCGGGGTCGATTCCCAGGTACAGCTAACATTGGTGCTCAGAGACATCTGAACTGGTCCTGGGTACCCTGCTTCAGGAACCCACAATATCCAGCGTGGTAAAATATGGTCAAACAATCCCGATGACCAGCAAAGCATGGGAAGGCTCTCATCCAGCAGTGGATTGCAAAAGGGCTACAAATACATATTAATATCCAAACAGTTTTTATTGGTCAGCCATTAAATTATAGCCTACAATATCAACTGAGAGTTTCAACACAGGTTTTAATTGACTGATACTGTTGTTCAATTGTTCTTTAAAAGTTAGTGGGTGTAAAAAAAGAATGCAATTGTTTCAGTAATAATGTGCAAACTATACCAAATAATATTACATAAAACATTTTTTAAATATTTGCTATAGAAGTGCTGTGTCATTTGTACCCTCTTGAAAATAAAACATTAAGTCCTCTCCAAAAAAGTTTCCACTCTCAAACGTCCACACCCACTACTTAATGGTAATGCACTGCCCATTTCACTGCTTAAGCTTTCAACTTTTTGTAACTACTCCAGGTTCATTTTAGCTGTCCAGATCAATTATGCTCAGTAACACAAAGATGAAGATAAAATGCAACTTAATATATTGGTTGTGATATTTAAACAAATTAATGCCGCCCATTCGTATGTAAACTTAATTCTTGTTAATTTGTATATCATTTTTTTTATCTAAAAAAATATGGTGACCATGAAGGTATCTTCCATTATTTAATCATTCTTACTAAGCAGTTTGAGCTAGGTTGATAAAACGACACACGTAGTAGTTAGAAGATTATATAATATGGGTTTCATCTCCCGACACCTCCCCATGTCGTCATGGTGTTGGCAACACACATTGTTTCGAGATTTCAGTTTGCCAACAACTCGACAGCGATTGTTTCGAATGAGTGCTATGTGCCCTTGAAAAATATAAAACTTTTCAGATTTTTTTGACACCTTATCTTTCGCACAACCCTTGACCTACAACCACATAATTAAAATTACTTGTCTAATTACAGTGCTTCGTAAAGTATGTCACCTGTACGTGTGCACAATTTATTTCTGTTCAGGCCAAAAAACCCAACTGGAGAGCCAAGTCTGAAGCTTTACAGAGGACGCTCCGGGAGGCGAGAATAGCGCAGCACGGTGGCAAGCTGAGTGACCGGCCACCTCCAGCACCCGCAGAAAACCCCGACTACGTGCCCTGCCCACATTGCCAGCGCCGCTTCGCGCCAGACGTGGCCGAGAGGCACGTGCCCAAGTGTCAGAACCTGAGAAGCAGGCCAGCACCTCCAAAAAGAAAATAATAAAAGCAGTATCAAACGTTGTACAACAACAAGAACAAAAAAACTACCTATATCAACAATGCTCAAAAACTGATTTGGTTTACGTTATTTCAATTAAGGAATATATTAAAAGTTCATGAAATAAAACCTATCCATGAAATTAATCGAGCTCAACCTTTAAAAAAAATATAGGAAGCAAAATAGCTACATATGTGAACTTACAAAGGTAGACCAACACAATTATATCCACATAGCATAAAGGCTGAGCCGAAGACAAACGCTAATAAAAGGGGCAGTCATCTTCAACTTATTTAGGCCCTTGCAACTCCCTCCCAGGCTGACTTTCAACAGCCCACTGGGTCGTCGCGTATAACCTGCCAGGTACCAGGGAAATATTTATAACGGTAGCCATTTTTACAAGGCAAACCAACAGCATGACAGCATATCCGTCAACTAAATTATAAGAGGCGTTCAGAAGGCTGAATCAAGAAGTTATAGAAAGCGGACCCTCCCCCCCCAGATGTGGGGGTAAAAAGTTGATCCAACAAGGTTTCTAAAAATTGTCGAACCCCTCAAATTATTTTGTAGTCATAGGGTGTGTAAGTATATATTACAACATGCTACATTCAATAGTATCTGCAGATGGGAGGGAAGAGGACATCTGTGGGGGCAAGGCATGAAGCACTGAGAAGCCCTCCGCAGGAGCTAGAATAAGGCCGCTGAAATTGTCGTAATCAAAAACTCCATGAAACCGTTTAATAATTATGCCGATGGTTTAGATGTATATTTGTTGACAAAAAAACACAATTCAAGAACGATCAACTTACACCAACAAACATAATGAAAACTTTCCTGCGATTGCAGTATATGAAATATTTATTCGACCACAAATGTTGGGGTTATACACAACCGCAACCGTGAATTAACATTAGTAATTTGTGTAGACGAGGAAAACATTTTAAATTAGAGCCTTAAATCATACCTACATAATGCAGATATGCATTAAGTGACTAAGCAATAAACGCAGTGTTTTTAATTGCATTTTTTATGGGAGCATGTTCTTTATCCTAATGCGTCTTTAATATTTTATTACCGTTTGAGAACTTGAGTATTTCTCCTGCTCAGGTCAGTTTCATAAGTATAATATATATCTCAGTGCCTCCATACAATTTTCAATAAGATAATTGATTGATTTTATTTATTAAAAGTGTTCAAACGGGACATTTGAAGTCAGGATCAGCATAAGATTGTATACTAAAATAAGAAGCCATCTGACTATTAAAACACCCATTTTAAAATTGAGTGTACCCTATACTTTTTCACGGATTTTAATTCTATGAAAAACTGCTTAATTTATCAAATGATATAAAAATCCTCAAATAGCTTTAATATGCCTAAGACGTAATAACTCACATAAATATATTGAAAGTGATTGTAAAAATGTAATTATAAATTCAGGGTGTAACATGGATTGATTGTGGTGCAGTGTTCATGTTGTATGGGATACATTTACTACGCTTTTTGAAATTCTATCTGTAGACTTAAATTGTTAATGTTATAAGATGCACATATGAATTGCATTCAATTGATATACAGAATGCTGTATTTAAAAAAAATGTACACTGCATTTTCAATGCTTGAATTATCAAAAATGTATGCACTTTCAAGTTTGGGTTTGTATTAAAGGGTAAATATGTATGCACTGTAAGTTATTTAATTGCCCATATATATTTCAGAACATAAAGAAAAAATGGACAATGCATTTCCCTCTGACAATATGTACTGTGTCTGCACGCCTAAACTTAGAGATATTAAACTATCACAAGGATTCTGCTCCACCGTACATTTTTGGGATTGTAAATGTTGCAATGGCATTTGACATTCAATGGATAACCATACGCACCGTGCACGAAATGTCAGCAGCTAAAATCAATACCATGAGGGCAAGAAAGTAATGAGTACATTTGAGTGAGGCTGAAACATCTCTTGCTCAGTTTTCTATAAAACGACCACAGCAAACCTGCAGTGATGAAGTGGCTGGGGATAACAGCTTTAGAAGTTCGAAAGCAACCCCATTGCCAGTCTGTCTTTGACATAAATTGTTTCAGTTGCATATTGCTCAGTGACAAATGAGGTACATTAGATGCACAGTTTTGTTTCATTGCTATTTGCTAACTTTGTACTAAAATGTAGGGGGATCTTTATTCAACTGAAAATGTATGGTTAAGGTATTTGCGTGAAAATAGATTTCAAGCTTGACATTTTAATTCTACAAAAATTACTTTTATATAAATGGGAATCACTTTTTAGTCATATGTGAATACATTGTGACTGTATAAATTGCATTATTAAAATATGAACTATTGTATATGTAAAAATACAACTGGTCTATGTACACTATACATACTTAATGCATTCGACATCACTGCAGCTACATAGAGAACTCGATGTATCTGCTGTATTACCCATGACTCCTATTATCCATGCCCTGCGTATTTATCCATCCTGAATTCTGGAACGGCTGCCAATTGTCCATATTTATTGTGGCTCAGCAAATAAATCCTATTATCCTTGTTCATCTGGAACAATCTTGAATCATGGGTTCCCTAAAATCCTATTATGAATGTTTTGTGGATAAGGGAAGTAGATCACATAATTAATCCTTTCATCGACTAGCAATTCATTATTCAAGGTGCTCTTATCCAGAAGTGGTGAACGTTTCTTATTTAACAAATCTACTTCATTCATGGGTAGAGCAGTGCCCATTCAAATGTCCATTAACATGCTCATGAATAATCCAAGGCAGGGCATTTATGCAGCATGCATGGCTGCACCTGTGCTACACCCACGTGCCCATCGGTCAGGGTATCATCGGTCTGTGCACGAGTGCAATCGCACAGGCAGCATAAACGAATAAGTGGAGCCCATCAGCAACTTCATCCAATTGTTCGTAGTGCTTGACCTGCGACACACGACCCGGCTCAACGCTGTGGGATGTCGGTGACGTCATCACAGATTTGCGCCGTGATGTCACCCACGCATCAGCTAGCAAAACTTTTTTTTCTTATAATAAACTATTGTTTTGCACGTGGGATGAAACAGGAGTACCCGGTGAAAACCCACGATCATCGAGGCGATAACGCTCGTTCTGCGTCCTGCCATGCACTCACACAGTCCCCTGCTTTTGACGTTCATGTCGTCTCCTGCTGTGTAAGCGTGTGGTCTCCCGCCATGCATTAGCACAGTCTTCTAGTGTTCGTGTGGTCTCCTGCTGTGCACTCCCGCAGTCACGCATTTTGCATTAGCGCAGTCTCCCATCGTGCGCTTGAGCACGGACGAGAATGGTGAAAAGAGATTGCATGAGGAGAGGACAACCACCATGGGAGAAAGAATGGCAAGATCAATGTGCGTGCATTTCGGGACCATGAGTGATAACGACGGCAAAGAAAGGCCTTCAGCATTAATAGACCATGTGTGATAAGATACCAAAGATGACCACAATTTGATGCTGCCACTGTCTTGTCACTGCTAATGCCACCGCAGCCACAAGGTAAAGGACACATTGCACCACTTCCGCATTCAAGACACATTTTCAGATAATGACAAATTCCCAAAAAGGGCTACCCAGAATTTGCCTACGAGAAGTGCACCATTAATCTATTCGCAGTTTTTTTCTTTCTGAAGAGTCACATGGCACTTATTATATTGTGTGCACTAATCCTGACTTTCTGTCCAAGATAATGGAATTATTTTAATGGATAGTCAATGTGAAAGTGAGATCTTGTTCAAATAATCAATGAGGCATATTCGTCTCGTGCCAATAGCCCTATTTTAACCAAATTAAATTAGGGCTGAAGAGCACAGCCGAAGTGATCCTAACCTAACATTAAAACTAACAATATTCCCGAGACTGGTGGAAATTCTACATTCCCATGTCGACGGTGGTTGTCCATAAGCTTAAACCTTATTGTGAGCTGCTCGCTCTCACGCTGGGCCACCAGGCCAAAGTTGAAGATAATAAGTTCTGCCAATAGCGCCCCCCCAAATCATTGCGGAAAAGGAGCTCAAGCATGGGTGGAGTTTGGAGGGGGGGGGGGGCACGCAGGGTGAAGCGCCCGCCCCCCAAACTGAGCACCTTTATGAACTTATTTTCAGTAGTTTACTATTATATTAAAAAGTAATTATATGCACCTGCGATTCCTAATGTGAGGGACAAAACGAACCCCTGCCCCCCCCAAATATAAAAGTATAACTCCGCCTTTGAGCTCAACCGAATGTAACGATTTGACGTAATATTTAGAAAAAAAACATAGTTCATGAAACTGTTAGGCATAAATCACAAATATTTCTGTTATATGACAAAATTCTGCTTTTAAAAAGGGCAATGTTTATAAAATTACGAACAATAGATTGTCAAAGTGTGCTGTGTTAATTATCATAGGTAAGTTTAAGTTGTGTTTGGAATCAATTATGCTTAATATTACAAAATGTCTTAAGATTGGTTGTATCATTTACTGTAATTTGTTACATTTAGTAAATTCCTAAATAAAGGCCATAATTAAATATCAGCAAAAACTGTATACCACAATGTTAGCCATTAAGACATCAAGTTCAACAACATAACAATAAATATTATATTCGTTTATCACCGTAAACTTGTGCAAAAAAACGTCATGCCTGCACTTCATAAGTTTTTCAATTTACACGACTTCCACTGGTTCATAAAACAGATTATTTTCCAATGGGCTCTCTGCAAACTGCAGCAGAAGCCACCCCGATTATGATGCAGTATGTCCGATCAGGAGGGTCACTGTAGCATATTAATGGCGCTATGAACCAAAAACAACTCGTTTCCCCAGAGATCCATGGCATAACTTAGATATTTTTTCAGCCAGTTATCCAGTACATTTTCCGACGGTGCATACAAACACGCATTTTCATACTTTCACATTTTTTTATGTGTTGCATATGAAATATTATTTACCATCTTGCATATAGATGAATAGAGCTTTTGATACTAACGTAACTGTATTTAATAGAAAACAATTATCAGTATTCAGTCATGGATTTTAACAAAATATGACCGAAGCATATTTTTTTAAAGAGACAAAACTACAGCAATATTCACTTGCCAAAATCAATCACTGAACTTCGTATAAGATAAATATTGGCTTAGAAACTTCAACATAAAGGAAGTAAACGCAACATGACATTCAAGGCTTGCTTTGATATGAAGCAGATCATTGAAACATTAAAATCTCCCCCTTCTGCTCCGAGGCAAGGGTATTAACTACTGTAGGTGGCGTGAGAAGAATGTTTTAAACATGCAGGCAATATCATTTTTTCCTTGCAATTAGCAGGATGGCGTAAAATTGCAGCACACCATCATTAACATTGCGACTCTTTAATGACACTTAATGGGATCCTGAGAATTAAGCATTTTTCCTCCTACATTTTCTAAGTTTAACAAAAGAACTGCATTTTAGGACAAATTCGCTGCACATTACCCCAATGGCATTCGAAAAGCCCACCAAACAATGTACAATGAAATCAATGCATGTACTTAACATGAGCAGAAGACGAAAATGGTACCTCTTAATTGGTTTGGGGATTGGATTTTTAAATGCAAAACCTATGCATATGGGTTGGGGATTGTATTTTTTTGTATGTTAAAACTATGCATATGAGGAATAAATCTTAAAATGACTTGTTAATTTGGTCATACCACAACCATCATACACAACGACCTACTCTTGCCAAGGGTATCATGGGATATTTAACATTCACCAGCAGATGCAGCCAACAGCTGAACATCCCCTTTAAATGAGGGGTCTCCGTGAGGTCTCAAAAAAATCAGGCATCTTCAGGTTGCCATCTGTTGTTGCAGATTTAATGCCAGGTCTCTCTGGTTCAATGTAGTTTATCTGCATGTCATGGCCCATGCACATTGTAAAAAATTGGTCCTGCAGATATTTGTCTAATTCACATTTCATGCAAGTGTCTCTGATTTAGGTGTGTATACTGAATGGTGGCACAGTGGTTAACATGCTGAGTCCGAGTTCGATTCCCGCTCACGACCAATAACAGTGGCCTTCCCTAGGTCGATTCAGCCTAAATAGAGTATTTGGTGCAGTGTATAAATATCAGCACTGGAGAGACAAAGGTGGCCGGGTATGATGTTAGCCACTCACCCCCTTGTGGCATACTGGCCTGAATAGGTGCTTGCCAACAGAACTTAAAGTCTGTTCAAGGATATCTGGGGGGATAATTATGTAGTTGTTTATATACAGAGAAGGGGTTATGCACAAGTAATATCACGAAATGTGTTTGTTGGAAACTATAGTAACCAGAGGTATAAATGACGTGATTGGGAGACTGCATATTTACCCACATACACTCTTATTTTTCGGCACACTGAACCACATGATTGAAACAGCATCACCGACTGCAAACGCGGGTGGCAAATCTGGTGCAGGAAAACTCCTGTGGTTCTACTGCCAGCCAAAGACGGACACTTCACTGCACTGTTTCATCCCGTGGGAAATGTCTTCTGCAAAAGAGAGTGCTTCATAGGTCCAAAAAGAAAGAAATGGCAGGGGGGCACAGTAGGTGATGTACAGCTGATGCAGTATTGTTGTCAATTCCAACTGTGTGATGGCTGCAGTTGTTGAATGGCAAACATACGGTCTCACATTATCATTGGGCAGGAAAACATCTTTGATATTCTTCAATGGCAGCCTCTGCCTGAACGTGTGTGTAAACCTCTGCAGGGTGTCAACGTAACTAGTTGCACTCTCCGTTTCATCCTTTAGAAGAAGGCTATTATTGATGACACCGTCAGCATCTCCAAATACAGCAGCAATGACCTTCCATACAGGTGGAACGGTCTTGGTTTTCTTGGTTGATCGGGATGAAGCGAGACATCCACCACATACTTTAGCATTTTGTTTTGAGGTCGCAAAGGTGCACCCACACCTTGTCACATATAACGAGACTCTTGCCAGAAATGTCTCATGGCGTTCCTGGAATTCCGGTGGGTCTCTGGAAACTTCCAGGCATGTGGTTTTGTAGATGGTAACAGAGACACGATGGTAAAAGAGGCACTCAATATGCACACACACTATCAAAATGCAGTTCATCCACCACCATTTGTTGCTGAGAAGCAACCAAACTTGAATTCTTGTGCAATATTATCCAGTGCTTTGCAGCAATTGTCTATGATGAAGTTTTCGATGCTCACATAATTCCTGGTTTACATGACAGAGAATGGTCAGCCTTAGCATGGCTTGTCATTAATGCGTGTGGCACCAGATGATTAACCCAATACATGCATTCATTGATTTATGTGCAAGACAACTTCCTTCAGGAAGAATTTGATTACAACAAATTGAGCTTGACATCACTTTTGGCAAGATTACACGAGACCATAACACAATTCAGCACCAAATCAAAGCTGTACAGGGCAGTGTAAAGGTATTAATTATTATCAGTGTCAACATTACAAAAC